CAGCTTTGTATAACTTAGAGAAATGATCAGCTCTTCTTGTTTTCATGGGCTTAATCCCAAGGACTTATCCATTCTCATCACCTTCTCACTCGCCATTTCTTATCCTTACTCCTGTCTTCCTAAAACCTTGTCGCTTTACCTTACTGTAGCTTGCGACCTACACATATCTATTTATACTACTCGCAACCTTCCTTCAACTTTCTTGCATCATAAGTTTCCTTATGTCATCCTGGAACATCAAGCGAGACATCATATCGTCTCTAACTCTTCTTTACTTTCTTAATTAGACCTCTCGATACTTAGAAACCATAGGTCAGAAGATATGCCACTGATGACGCTGCTACCATTCCTGGATACTAAATCCCAATGCTTCTAACCTTCTATCTGTAGTATGGATTATTTGCAACCTTCTACATTTGAGTATCTGTACGTTGTTCACCTTTACCCTTCTTACCTTAAAAGCTCGCATCACGTCTTTTATCTCTTTCATGGCCTCGCTTTAACACATATATAATTCACATCCACAAGTTGAAGCTCTATTATAATACTTGCACCTCTGGTGCATACACAATCCAGTAAAAGCATCATGCTGACTTCTTATGAGGCTGGTACTCTTCTGACTGGCTTTATGGTAGAGCCGTTATAGAATATGTCTATTGTACTATCTCTCTTGTACCTCTGATATTAACAGTGATTCTGCAATTTCCTCAATCACGATTTCTATAATTTCCTTGGTCCAATAATCAGTCCCCTGATTTACTTTGTTGATGTAACTCTTTAGTTTTCTCTTCCCTCTGATCAGCCTGTATGTAGGCTTAAGCTATCTTCTAATCTGCGCCTCATGGTATTAGTTATTAACTTTGCCTTCATGGGCACTATGGAGTATCCATGATACAATCTTCTAACAATTCAATCCTTTGTCTATGACCTGGACTCAATTCATTCTTTTAACTTATACCAGAGTCTTCTACGGCTATATGATTGTCAACATATATGCTTCATGGATAATACTCTGAAATCTTATGTGTGTTCATAACGTAACTCACTCTGGATCACTCATTGAATAGTTCCTTTCATTCCTTCTCAACTTTCTTTAAATGTAAGCAATTACTTTTCCTGGTCGTTTTGCCACTCGATGCATGCATACATAGCTTATCTTAGTTCCCACGCATGCCGAAATTTTTGTGCAACTCATATGATCTTGAATATTAATTTTGGTTTCTCTTCCCGTTCCTTAGCCACAGTAGGTGCCACTTTCTAATGGAGTGCATACAATGTTGTAGTGAGATTGCTATTACAAGACCATTTCTTCTTCAAGTTACTATGTTTAGGTTGAAGCCATCTTCCTTATTTTCTCAGCTAGTCTTTCATTGTAGTACTTAGGGAGGACCCTCTGACTCTTGTAAAGCTGTGAGCTTATTATATCATACACTCGACAGAATTTTTGATGTCCTTCCTCGCCTATAATTATCTGTAGTTACTTACCTCCACGCCCTTGTACTTGTAGGGTTGCTTCTGAGCTGATATTTTGATTGTCTTCCTAGTGACACTCTCTTTTATCTTCGTAACACTCATACGATACCTTTAACTACCCCAACTCCTATCTGAATATTTCTCAAGGTTACTATGTCATATCTGCGAGACTCAATTCACTATATTGTGTTTTACTATGTTTATCTTGCACGATCTGCTGATTCGTCTGTAATCACCTGTCTAGCCATAACTAGGCTCTTCCTGAGTCAACTACTAACTACTCTTTGGCCCATTCTCATATCAATATTCCACGTAATCTTTCTTGGGTTATTCCTTTTGTCTTAACTTACCTCTTGCACTGGCTCCTTATTTGTCAAAAACATCCCAGGCTGGAACCCTAACATCCTATCCTTGAGATCGTGCTTGCATAATGTTCTGGAATCATAGCATGTCTGTAGGATTTGAATAAGTGAAATCTCATCCCTTTCTCATTTTTATCGCATTCTTCCTTTACCATTCCATAGTTACTAGAACCACTTAATTCTGACTTGATGTCGCATCAATCCATATTCCCCCCTTTAGGGGAGCACTATTATTTGGTGCTACGATGATCTACATATAGATGTCTTACCTTCTCATCTTTGGCATATTTTAACATCATCGATGATCCTTACTCGCCTCGCGGTAATCCTTTGATGTTACACTTTGTGTCTTGAGGTATAGCCGGGGCCTTGTTGCCGGCATTTTCATACTATTCTTCTGTCATATTTAGAGGCTCCGTAGACAGGTTGTGGGTGGTGTATGATATTGGGAATTGAACTAGAAATGTTGCTATTTGGCAAACATATTTTTTATTATATCTATAAACTTGTAATACTTTGGAAATTATGAACGAAGTTGCTAATAGAATGAATGTGAGTTGTTAATAAAATATTTTCAGTGTTTGATTAATGGAGTGCATCTCCTCTTTATTCATGGATGAATTCAGGTAGAAGAAAATTTAACAGGCTTGCTCGGCCGGGTTTACTCGGTTGAGCGCCGGTCGCGCTCCCCGAGTTTGGGGCGTGTCACGCGACTACTAGAAAGAAAAGTTAGACCCTAGAGTAACAGAAATCAATATGGACTCGTGAACAAGATAAATTAAACAACAAATTAGGGACTAAGTGATTTGATAATGGTCGGCATCATGAGAATTTCAAATTGCATTCCAGCGATAATAGAATGGACAACAGAAGAAGATTCATGAGAAATTCAGAGAATGGGCATTCAGGAAGACGCTTCCCTAAAGCAAGCAATGTGAGAAAAGTTAAGATTAAGGGACTGCATGTGCCAGTTACACTAAGTGTCGCTCTCACGAGTAAGGAAATTTGTTATCCTTGGTACAGAAGGATTACCGCAAGGCAAGTAAGTGTCATCGATGATGTGAAAAGATGCCAAAGATGAAGAGGTAAAATATTTATACATAGATCATCGTAGCACTAAATGTTAGCGCTCCCCTAAAGGGCGAAATATGGAGTGATGTGATATTACGTCAGAATTAAGTGGTTCTAGTAACTATGAAATGGTAAAGGAGGAATTCGATAAAAATGAGAAAGGGATAAGATTGCACAACCTATAGATATGCTACGATTCCAGAACATTATGCAAACACGATGTCAAGGAGAGGAAGTAAGGGTTCCTGCCCGGGATGTTATTGATAAATGACCCAAGAAAGATCATACGAAATATTTCGTGTAGGCTTAAGCTATCTTCCGATCTGTGGCTCCTGGTATTAGTTATTACTTTAGTATTTCATAGCCGCTATGGAATATCCGTGATACCATCATCTAACAATTCAATCCCTTGTCTATTGTCTGGACTCAATTCTTTCTTTAAATGTAAGCAATTACTTTTCCTGGTCATTTTTCCACTTGTTGCATGCATACTTAGCTTATCTTAGTACCCACGCATGCTGAAATTTTCGTGCAACTCATATGATCTCGAATATTAATTTTGATTTTTCTTCCCATTCCTTAGCCACGGTATGTGCCACTTTCTCATGGAGTGCATACAATGTTGTAGTGAGACTATTTTTTTTACATGACCATTTCATCTTTAGGTCACTGTGCTTAGCTTGAAGCCTTCTTCCTTATTTCCTCAGCTAGTCTTTCGTTGTAGTACTTAGGGAAGACCTTCTGACTCTTGTAAAGCTACGAGCTTATTACATCGTATACTTGACGGAATTTTTGATATTCTTCCTTGCCTATAATTATCCGTAATTGCTTATTTCCACGCCCTTATGCTTGTAGGGTTGCTCTTGAACTGAAGTTTTGACTGTCTTCCAAGTTAGACTATCTTTTATTTCCATAACATTTATACGGTACCTTTAACTACCCCAACTCTTGTCTGAATATTTCTCAAGGGTCACGATGTCGTATCTGCGAGACTGAATTCCCATGTTGGGGTTCACTATGCTTATCTTGCACGATCTGTTGATTTGTCTGTAACCTCTTGTCTAGCCATAACTAGACTCTTCTTGAATCAACTCCTAATTGCTCGTTGGTGATAACGACTAGGTCGGGAATCCAAACTAGAGTAAGAATTTGAAAAGTAAATACGGAAGCAATAACAATAAGGAATTAAACAAGTAGAACTAAAGGGTAGAAAATAAAAGGATATTGGAAAATTCAAGGAAAGAATTCACAGAACTTCCAAGAACGCAAGTTCTATAGCCTTGACAAGATCAAAGTAACAACGTCTTGATTTATTGAAGAAATCAAACGCCTTTACTTAAAAGCAAATCAAAATAATAGATTCGGATCTTGACCGCTTTACGAGTAACTTGGACAAAAATTAATAACTAGTATTAACCGCCTTCTAAAAATACCATAAAGGAATCAAAGATATCACAATAGAGACGTAATCTTACTACCATGAACTATGAACTAGTAAAGGTTTAAAGATAAATCTCAAAGCACAAGTAACAAAGGTTCAAAGAACTCTCAAAGTATGATATACTTAATCAATAATGAAGTGTCTCAATGAATGAGAAGAACACCTTATTTATAGGAGTACTAAGGCACAAAAAGTCCTTAAAATTAGGTAGGGTGGTTGCTACGGCATAAAAAGTCATTACAATTAGGTGGGGTGGTTGCTAAGGAGTAAGAAAAGTCATTAAATTAGGTGGGGGGGGGGGATCCCTTTGGGGCTGATTTGGACCTTAAAACTACTAGTTTGGGCCATTGGTTTGGACTCCAATTTGGCTCCTTTTGAAATACCCCCTTTTAGACCTCTTTTAAGCTCATTTTGAGCCCCTTTGGTGGACTTCAAGGGCTGATTTGTGGTGCAATCTTCCTCCTCTTGGACTTAAATTTGGATCACCAAATAATTGTAAAACTTGGATAATTCATCTACTTTGGGCTTGAGCTCTTCCTTTACAATTAAAAACTTCTTTATTTGCCATTGAAGTCCAGCAACCTTAGTATGCAACTCTTTAGCTTGAGATCTTGTAAATGGTCTTGGAGCTTCCAAAACTCTATCCTTGTCCTTTATGCTATCATTCCCCTCTTCTTAAAAAGAATTTGTCCCCGAATTCGATCCTACATCAAACAAAGACAAGTCAGCAACATTGAATGTAGCACTTACTTGGAACTCACCAGGAAGGTTCAGCTTGTAAGCATTGTCTCCAATCCTTTCAAGGACTTGAAATGGGGCATCTCCTCTAGGGTGAAACTTTGAATTCCTTTTAGTGGGAAATCTCTCCTTTCTAAAGTGAACCAAAACTAAATCTCCAGGTTTAAAAATAACTTTTTTCGACCCTTATTCTTTCTCAAGGCAGTTTTCTCATTTTTCTTCTCAATTGCAAGCCTTGTTTGTTCATGAGTTTTTTTCATCATCTCAGCATTTGTCCTACCAACAAGATTAACAATATCATTAGTAGGTAATGGTAGTAAATCAAGGGGAGTGAAGGGATTAAAACCATAAACAACCTCAAAAGGAGCCATACCTGTAGAAGAATAGATTGTTCTATTGTAAGCAAATTCAATCACAAGTAAGTGAGCTTCCCAAGAAGTTAATTTACCTTTCAAAACATCCCTCAACATGTTTTCTAAGGTTCTATTAACTACTTTAGTTTGTCCATCAGTTTGCGGGTGACAAGAAATAGAAAACAACAATTAATGCCTAACTCCCCCCAAAATACACGCCAAAAGTGGCTCAAAAACTTAGCATCCCTATCACTAACAATAGTTCTAGGTATATCATGTAATTTGACAACTTCTTTTACAAAAAGATCAGCAACAGGTGAAGCATCATTAGTCTTTAAACAAGGAATAAAATGAGCCATTTTGGAGAACCTATCTACCACAACATATATACTATCCTTACCATATTGGGCAAACCTAACACAAAATCCATAGAAATATCAATCTAAGGTGAAGTAGGAACAGGTAATGGCGTGTAAAGACCATGTGATAACACTTTAGATTTAGATTGTTTACCTTCCAAACATTGTGCACATATTCTTTCAACATCTTTTCTCATTCCAAGCCAAAAGAAATTTTCAGCAAGTATGTCTAGTGTCTTTGGAACTCCAAAGTGACCCATAAGCCCTCCACAATGTGCTTCCCTTACAAATAATTCACGTAAAGAGCAATTAGGGATACACAACTTATTTTTCTTAAAGAGAAATTCATCTTGGAGGTTAAACCTCTCAAAAGGACCCAACATACAATCTGCAAAAATCTTGCCAAAATAAACATCGTTAGCATAAAGTCCCTTGATTTGATCAAAACCCATCAATTTAAAAGTCAGGGTAGAAACTAAGACATACCTTCTTGAAAGTGCATCCGCATCAACATTCTCTTTCCCTTGTTTGTAAGAAATTACATAAGGAAAAGTTTCAATGAATTCAACCCACTTAGCATGCCTTCTACTAAGCTTACCTTGACTCTTCAAGTATTTCAAGGATTCATGGTCAGTTTTAATGACAAACTCTCTTGGCCACAAGTAATGTTGCCATGTGGCTAAAACCCTTACCAAAGCATATAGCTCTTTGCATAAGTGGAATAGTTCAATGTGGCTCCACTCAACTTCTCACCAAAGTAGGCAATAGGTTTAGAATCTTGCATCAAAACAACACCTATTCCTTTGTCAGAAGCATCACATTCAATTTCAAAAGATTTAGAAAAATCAGGCAATTGTGTAACAATGGAGCAGAACGTAACTTTTCTTTCAACAAGTTAAAAGTATCAACTTGTTCTTTTCCCCATGTAAAAAATATTATCCTTTTTAATAACTTCAGTTAAAGGAGAAACAATGGTGCTAAAGTCTCTCACAAGCCTCCTATAAAAACTAGCAAGTCCATAAAAATTCCTAACTTCAGTTACACTCTTAGGTTTAGGCCATTCGTTTATTGCTTTAATTTTCTCTTCATCAACTTCAACTCCTTTAGAACTAACCACAAAACCCAAGAAAATCACACGATCCACACAAAAAGTACACTTTTTAAGATTAGCAAATAAGAGTTGCTTTCTAAGAACTTCAAAAACTTATTTTAGGTGTTCTACATGCTCTTCTAAAGTGTTAGAAAAGATCAAGATATCATTAAAGTATACCACAATAAATTTTCCATGAAAATCCTTAAAGATATGATTCATTAATTTCATGAAAGTGCTAGGTGCATTAGTCAAGCCAAAAGGCATAACTAACCACTCATAAAGCCCGTATTTAGTCTTAAAAGCAGTTTTCCAATCATCTCCAGGATTCATTCGAATCTGATTGTAAGCACCTTTTAGATCAATTTTAGAAAAGATTTTGGATCCATGTAATTGATCCAACATGTCATCAAGACGAGGAATAAGATGGAGACACTTTACCGTTATCTTGTTGATTGCTCTACAATCCACGCACGTCCTCCAAATTCCATCCTTTTTGGGTACCAATAGGACGGGAACAGAGCAAGGGCTCATGCTCTCTCTCACAAGGCATTTCTCAAGCAGCTCCTCAACTTGCCTTTGAAGCTCTTTTGTCTCTTCTGGATTACTCCTATAAGCAGGCCTATTTGGGATTTGTGATCCAGGCACAAAATGAATTTGATGCTCAATGACATGTAAAGGTGGCAATCCATTAGGAATATCTTCAGGAAAGACATCTTCAAAATCCTGCAAAAGAGAAGAAATACTACTTGGCAAAGAAGAAGTTAGTAACTCAGAATTAATCAAAACTTCTTTGTAAGTAAGTAGTATTATGGGCAACCCCTCTTTTCTTGCATTTAAACACTCTTTGGCTTTTATATAAAAACTCTCTTTTTTTATTTCCTTAGCCTCTTTCCTCTCACCAAGACTTTCTATTTTTTCATTCAAGCCCCTTTTTATCTCTTCTCTCAAATTGTTTCCCTCTCTCTCTCTTTCTCTCGGCCATCTCTCTTTTTTTCTAACTCTTAGCCTCCTTTCTTTTCTTTTTCCTCAAGCTCACTTTTTATCCCTCCCCTTGGTTTTTCCATTGTTTTCCTTAATCTCTTTTGATCTTCAAACACTTGAGAAGGAGATAAAGGTGCAAGAGTAAATTTCCTGCCATTTAGCTCAAGAGAATATCTATTCTTCCTTCCATCGTGAAAAACATTCCTATCATACTGCCAAGGACGACCTAGTAAGATATGACAAGCTTGCATAGGGACTATGTCACAAAGAATATCATCCTCATATCTACCAACATTGAATGAAATCATGCATTGTTTGTTTACCTTTAGTTCACCACTATCATTTAACCATTGGAGTCTATAGGGAGTAGGGTGTTTCATGCATGCAAGTTCCAATTTTTCCACAAAGTATGAACTCACCACATTAGCACAACTACCACTATCAATGATTATAGAAAAAGTGTTTCCCTTTATCCCACACCTAGTATAAAATATCCGTTTGTTCTTCAATATTGCTTCTCAAATTGATAGTCATAATCCTCCTAACTACCCCAATCATGCCATCATTAGGTAGTTCTATATCATCATCATTACTCACATCTCCATCTTTTTCTCCCTCACTTTTTTCACTCTCATATCCTCCATCTTCTCTAAGAATGATGTTTCTTCTACTTGGACATTCATGCATCATATGTCCTCTTCCTTTATATTTATGACATTGAGTAGAACTAGAAGGTGTAAAAGGTTTAGGTTTAAAGGTTTTACCTCCCTCTTTGTTCTCAAATTTACCTTTATCCTTGTCTTCTTGAGGTCTAGAAGAACTCTTCATCTCTTGATTCGACCATGGCTTCTTGGAGATGGTGTTTGACAAACTTTTCACGAGCTAGTTTGCTTTCTTTTATTTTGATTTTCTACCATTACAGACAAATCAACTAACTCATCTATTGTTACATATTGTTGTAATTCTACTACATTAGCTATTTTCTTAAAATCATTTAAAAATCTAGCTATTGTAGCCTCTTCTTCCTCCATACAATTAGCTTGGATCATAGCCATATCCATAGCCTTAAAGTACTCATCCACAGACATGGACCCTTGCTTCAATGTTTGAAGACGTTGTTGTAGCTCTCTTTGAAAGTGTGATGGTATGAATCTCTTTCTCATCACCCTCTTCATCTCAACCCAAGTAGCAATTGGTGCTTGTCCTTCTTGCAACTTGTCCATAGTAAGCTTTTTCCACCAAATAGCAGCATAGTTCGAAAACTCAACAATAGCAAGTTTAACATTCTTACCCTCAGAGTAGTTGTGACAGTCAAAGATGGCTTCAACCTTTTTCTCCCAATCAAGGTACAAGTTTGGATCCCTTGTTCCCTTGAAAGATGACATCTTCATCTTTATAGTACTTATATTATCATCTTTGTAGTCTACCTCTTTGTTCCCTCCTATCTCTTCCCACCCTATCAAAATCAATATCATTAAAATCATCTATAGGGTTTTCTTGATTTACAATGGGAGCAAGGGGTACATTTCTCCTAGCTTGGGGCCTAACATTATTTTCCCTTCTAAGTTCAGCTATTGTATCATTTTGCTCAGCAATGGTGTCCCTCATCTCTTGGAGTTGCAAATTCCATCTTTCGAATTGTTGATGCATAGCTTGCAAGGTAAAATCATTTTTTGCTTTGATTTAGGCTTCTTGAAGAACCTTTCGTTCATCATCACTACCTGTATGTTACATCTTAAATAATTAACTGTATCAGATAAATTGACTTTTTCCTCAATTGTTCTCACACACACTTTGCCTTTTTTTCTCTCTCGAAATAACCTTTGAACAAAATATTTTGTAGATTTATAGTTCAACCCAACTCGTATAAAGTTCTTAGTAGTAAAATATAGATTTTTGGGGAACAAATGAAAGAAGAACCAAATCCTAGAACTATTAGGCTCAGTTGAAACAAGACATGAACAAAAAGAAAATGGGATCCCCTCTTTTTGTTTCCTTTGATAGTTTTTTTGGAAACAAATTTGATACAAAATAAAGTTCCTGGAGAGCAAGCATTTTTTTTAAAAATTGAATTTCGTTTTTTTTTTGGTTTTTTTAACTTGTTTTTTTTTTCGCTCTTAGTATTCAAGAAATCCCCAGGATTATCAAGAACGAAACCTTGATAGAACCGCTCTGATACCACTTGATAACGACTAGGTCGGGAATCCAAACTAGAGTAAGAATTTGAAAAGTAAATGCGAAAGCAATAACAATAAGGAATTGAACAACTAGAACTAAAGGGTAGAAAATAAAGGATATTGGAAAATTCAAGGAAAGAATTCCAAGAACTTCCAAGAACGCAAGTTCTATAGCCTTGACAAGATTAAAGCAACAACATCTTGATTTATTGAAGAAATCAAATGCCTTTACTTAAAAGCATTTAAATAATAGATTCGGATCTTGACCGCTTTACGAGTAACATGAGACAACAATTAATAACTAGTTTTAATCGCCTTCTAAGAGTACCACAAAGGAATTAAAGATATCACAATAGAGAAGTAATCTTACTACCTTGAACTATGAACTAGTAAAGGTTGAAAGATAAATCTCAAAGCACAAGTAGCAAAGGTTCAAAAGAACTCTCAAAGTTTGATATACTTAATCAATAATGAAGTGTCTCAATAAATGAGAACAACTCCTTATTTATAGGAGTACTAAGGTACAAAAAGTCCTTAAAATTAGGTAGGGTGGTTACTAAGGCATAAAAAGTCATTACAATTAGGTGGGGTGGTTGCTAAGGAGTAAGAAAAGTCATTATATTAGGTGGGGGGGGGGGTTCCCTTTGGG